AGTCTGATATAAACATTCCCGTCTCATCTGTAAAAACCGACGAGTGCTAGTCAAGTATCTCCACTTTTTGCATACAAGGCGAGCATTCATGAGACTCGAAAGTGGTAGCCTCATCAAGCACATTTCCAGAATGTCATCAGGAAGAAAAATATGAACGTCACTGCTCCTCGTAGAGTTCCGAAGTCCGGAATGCTTCGGGCTATGTTTCTTACGAAATCTCTCCTTTACACCATATGAGAAGCAATCCACACCATTTTCTTCAGTACTGAATAATGATTTGTATCCCTTACCTTCCTCACTGGCACTGGATCTTCTTCGACTGCCTGGGTCACCAATTTCCTCACCGGTGTCGGCCCCAACTTTGCAACCTCCACCTCTACCATATAATGTAAGACATCTCAAAGATATTCCCCTTGAAATATCCTCTTCCTCAGCAACACCTTTGTTATTCTTCCTCCTCAATTTCTGGCTCATGCTTCTCATGAGCCTTTTCGACATGCTCAAAACCTCAAACTCTTGATGAAAGTAGTCCAATTCAGCTTGTGTATTGGACAAATTTCCTTCTCCAGATCTTAGCAGTAAAAGTCACTCTTCCCATGACCATACGAACCGAAGTTCGAAACTCATCGTTCGGCACATTTCATTTTCCTATCTAAGATGTGAACTCTAAGAAAAACTGAATTGTCTCACAAGAAACACCGTATAGCCGCTCACAAACAGTACAGTACTATTTCTTTACTCACTTGAAACACCTGCACAATAAACCACGATCAATTGCTAAATAAGTTCATAGAAGAAAGGCAAAAAATTCGATTAACTCCCTAACTTTCAAACAGCCATGTATTCCTGAACTCGCAACCGCATTCACAGACAATATTCAAAAACAGAATCACGGATTCTCTTGTCGTAAATGTTCACTCAACCTCAAAAGACAGAGTAGGACAATTATCGCGATCATAATTCAAAACGCAAAACAAAAACAAAGGAAACTACGATCTGCAAAGACTCAAAAATCCACACAACAAAATCTCGACAGAATTACCAACAGATAGTCAAATATTCTGATCCCGGAAAGAGAAAAAAGAAAAATCTCACTCCAGATCCACAACATTCAGTGGCTACAACAGATTAAAATCATCTGCAAAAAGAATCAAGATTCAAAGCGCTGGAAAACAACAACAACAACAACAACAACAACAAGAACAACACCGACACAATAGAACAATACAAAAACAAAAACAAAAACAAAGAAGAGAAACCGCAATATCCTAGAGAATAACACTGTTTTACACCACATGCGGAAGAAAAGTAGTAACTTACATTACATGAAACGTTGCAAGGAAGAGAAATCCAGGAAGTGAATGAAAGGCAAAGTCAGAAATGGAAAGAAACTAATGAGATTGTGGAAGAAGAGTGAAGGTGCAACAATGGAGGAATTTTGGAGTCAAGGCGAGAAAGAAGGAAAGCATTTGATCTTCCTAAACAAAGCCTAAAGAAGGCGAGGCTATAATCCTGTACGACGACTTTTCTGTACTCCTCAAATTCCATCCCTCCGATTCGACCTAATCCGCGGGCCCCACTGGTTGCCGTGTGGAAATAAATTCAAATAAGAGAGAAAAAAACAAAAGCGTTTTGCTTTTTTTCTTTTTTTATTTATTATTATTAAATGTTTAAATTCCATTTCCGTTTATTTTTATTTTAATCCTCCCGTTTCAAAATTAAAAAAATATTTGAATTTTTAGATTTATTGAAAAAAAAAAAAACATAATTGTTTATTCAATGCTCTCTCTAATGTTTGATTGTTTTTTTTCTCAAGTTTTTATTTAAAATGTTTTTTATTTAATATGTTCATTTTCAATTATTAAAATTTGTTTCCATTAACAAGTTGAATTAGACTGGAGGGTTGTTGTAACGACTCAAGCTCACCACTAGCCCGTGTGGTCATGGACTTTCCCTCAACATTTTTAAAACGTGTCTGCAGAAGAGGTTTTCACACCCTCATAAAGAATGTTTCGTTCCTCTCTCCAACCGATGTGAGATCTCACAATCCACTCCCTTCGGGGCTCAGCATACTCGCTGACACTTGTTCCTCTCTCTAATCGATGTGGTTTCACACCCTTATATAGCATTCTCTGTTCTCCTCTCCAACCAATATGGGATCTCACAATCCACCTCCCTTCGGAGCCGAGCGTCCTCAATGACACTCATTCCCCTCTCCAATTGATGTGGGATCTCAAAATCCACCTCCCTTCGGGACCAAATGTCCTCGTTGACACTCATTCCTCTCTCTAATCGATGTGAGATATCATAATCCTAACCCCCTTCGGGGCCAGCGTCATGTTGGCAAAGCGCTCAGTATCTACCCCACTTTGAGGTCCAGCGTCCTTGTTCCCCCCTTTCGAGGCTCAACGTCCTCGCTGACACACCGGTGTCTAACTCTGATACCATTTGTAACGGCTCATTCTACATCAAAAAGTCCCTTCCTTTTTACAAAGAGCTCTTATGCATATCTTGTCGACTTGTCGGCTCCTCACGTCCTCTCAACAAGGATCTCTTTGACTTCTTTCTCAACGGTGTTCTTCACTATGACATAAGGCCTAGATGTCTCACTGTGATCGAAATTAACTAGGTCTATAATGATAGGGTTTCAAATTACTTACATGGATGACATAGTAAATCTTTATCCAAGAAGGAGGTCGAACTCTATACGACCCCTTACCAACTTTCTAAATGATTTAAATTGGACCTTTATATTTTTGCATGCAATATTAGTCTTAACTTCTTCATAATTGGACTTGTTTTGATCTCAGCTTGACAAGCCCGGGTTGCCTGTTTGAAACTCCAACGGACTCTAATGAATCCAACTTTTCATATGTTTGGACATATTCTATAACTCTTTGGTGACCAATAACACGATCAAATCACTCCACATGCAAGATTGATCATGTCTAAAAGTAAGCACAAATGTTCTTTTTACTGCATTTTTCAAGTATACTTTTGATCGCTTGTGGATGTATATAATAAAATGATGTAAAATTTACAAGAATAAGTGCAAGTATACACTATCACAAGTAGCATGTAATAAGTAAATTATCGATTCCACAAGGAACCTATCTTTTTAGTTAATTTTATCGCTGGAAATTAGGTGAGTTTTTGGGTAACATTCAAATGGGTGTCGGAGATTTTAACTATTTAAACAAAACTAAAACAGAGTGTCACTGCTGTAAAAAAAAACAAAAAATGATGAGAAAATCAACTATAATGAGGAAGGTTCGGCTAAGAGAGATTAAATAGATAAGTTGTTGAGTTTTGTGGTAGATTTTAGTTCCTTTTATTAGATTCTCAAGCCCACTTCCGAGGGTCATGAATGGTGATTATTTCCATAATCGTTGTAATTTCTATTAACAAGGCTCTAGAAGAAGAATTATTCCTAACCCTTCTATTACCCTTCAAGTCTCCTTGCTATAGAATTAGAGCATTAAGGAGGATTTCATTGCTCCCTCTCTTCTCCCGAATAAGAGAACAACTATGTATGTAAAGTAGCTAACTAAACATACATGTAAATCATTGACAACAACTCTTTAATAAACTAAAATCATACCGTCAACATACTTAAACTATATAAAACTCTCTCCATACAAACTGAATTAAACAGAGGAATCTATATCTTCATCATGTAAAATTGATGGAATAAGGAAAGAGAATAAGGAAATAGAGAGTTATCCCGGTTTGTTGCCGTTCGTCAATGGAAGTTTCCTTCTCTTGAGCTCTCACGTCCACCTCTTTGCCCTAATCAATCCTTGTTGGTCTCCTTTTCCTTCTGCTGTCAATAGCTGCTGGATTAGGGTTTTCTTCTTCTTCTCTAGTTTCACAGCAGTTCACTGTAGCAGTGGCTGCTGTTGTGTAATTCGATTTTCTCCCCCAAGTGTGGCTCATCTCCTCTTGGTCTTCCTTTTCCTTTTATATTGAGCATGAGTTTCCTTTACGGCTGAAAAGGAATAAGTTGTCCACATAGATGTTCCTCAATGATCCACTTGGACGGCTGATGTGGATTTATCATTTCCATGTTATCCCCCATTTGTTTCCAAATTTGCTACTCCCACGTAGTTTAACATAAATGTCTGAAATTTTACCACATAACTCAATTAAATATAAAATTAAGATCGATTTATGCCCAATCATATTTTTTTCACGTTGGACCGCAATAAACAATTTCATGATCACTAAGTAGAATAAATGGGGTTATAAATGAGAAAATGGAGAATAAGAGTGCAATATTAACTCCAAAAGGACTTGATATGATTCTACTTTTAGATAGTTATCAACTTTACAAAGATAACATACATGACTTTATATAACCTCAACATGAAAACCCTTGAGCTTCCACGAGACATATCAACAGTTAACTTTCACACTTTACGACCATAACTAGCCATTAAGCAAAATTTTCATTCACCCAAAATTTGTAACCATCTAAGAATAAACGATACTCGTTTTCTTTGAATATGTATGACTAAAGTACCTCGGTTAATATCAAAGACAATTCTCAAATTTAGTACCTGAATCAGTGTATAATTGTTTGTTTTCGGGTTCTCGAATTATCCAAAACTATTATTATTTGGTCGTTTTAGATCCAAAACTAACATGTTTGATTAAAATAGATAAGGAATTAGTGGTTGAAAATGGAAGAAGAGTGAACCACAAAAACAGGTTTTTCTTAGAACATATTACTAAATATAGAGTTTTAGAACACTTGAGATTGTTCTATAAATAGCCATGATGTTCATCTTTTACACATTTTTAGAAGGAAAGCAAATAGAACATTGAGGGCTTTGATTTCCCTAAAAGGTTAATGTAATAAGAGTTGAAGGCGACGGGTGTTGGTTCGTTTGTTCGTTCGTCGAAACCCTCGAGAGCCTGCCCATTTGATAACGTTTTTGTTTTTGCTTCTTAATATAGAGAAATGGAACTGCGTTTGGTGACAGCTACCAAACGCTTCGAGTTCTAAAAAGCTAAGAACAAGAAACAGGAAGTCGGGAATTTGAACGTTACCGAACCGTAGCTATTGGTTGTTTGGTTGTCGGGTTGGGAAATCGTTATAGATTTTGGTATGACATTGTTTTTTTACGATGTTATTCGTTTACGTATTGTCGTTAGGTTTGATTTAACCTAATGTGTTTTGTTTTTGATTGATTGTTTGGTTGTTCATAAGGGCACTTCAAAGCTTGCTTGAGCTCTAAGAAATGGGCGGCGGTGGCGGTGGCGGTGCTCAAAGTAGAGAGTTAGATCAAACTCCGACATGGGCCGTTGCCGCTGTTTGTGCAGTCATCATTCTCATTTCCATCATATTGGAAAAAGTTCTTCATAGGGTTGGAGAGGTACATCTTCTTCATACCCTTCCTAATTCATTTTCGTATTTTGCTCGGGTGTTCGTGGGTTAGGTCAAATCAGGTCGGGTCAATATATTTTTAAATTCAGCTCAATTTTTTGGATTGTAAATTTTGAAACCCAAACGAACACTTTATTTAAAAAAATAAGGTCATTCCATTTTGACAAAAGACCCACACCCAAGTTCCATAGTTTTGGATCAGCTATCCCGATCATGATTTTCCTACCCCAGAGGGAAAAGTCCTTTCCTTTTTGGGAGGTCATGATTTTCCTACCCCAGAGGGAAAAGTCCTTTCCTTTTTGGGAGGTCCACTATCCTGATCATGATTTTCCTATCCCTATAGGGAAAAGTCCTTCCCTTATTGGCGGGTCCGCTATCTCGATCATGATTCCTTTCCTTTTTGGGCGGTTGTGGGCGAGGAGGGATTCCAACCCTCACATGGTTCGTAGTCACGTGCTCTAATCCTCTGAGGATGTTAAATAACAAATCCAAACCCAATTGAACTATAATTTTTTTTGGATTGAATTAGTTCCGTTAAGTACAATGTTACTAGTAAAATATTTATTTATTAATATTTAATTAAAATTTATAATAAATAATTAAAATTTATAATAGAAAAATCTCGACGCAATTAAAAATTATTTTCACGTATATTTTAAAATTAACCATAAATTCGGACTATTTCGATTCAACCCAAGTTTAGGAGAACCGATGAATCAACAAAATTCGTAAAATTTTTATTTATTCGAACTCAAACTCAACCCAATTGAAACAAATTCATAATTGAACTCGAACCATACGAGTCGGGTTGGGTTGGGTTGGGTTGATGAGGTTTATCGAGTCATCGAATTTTTTGAACACCCGTCTTTTTTAATTATTTTTTTTTCTAATATGTTAGATATTTCAAAGAAAGAAAAAGAAAGCATTGTACGAGGCGCTCGAGAAGGTTAAAGGCGGTAAAGCTACTTTCGTTTAATAATTAATTAATTAATTATTTATTTATTTATTTATTTATTCGAGAGTAAAAAGTTTATATTATTTATGTTTTTTTTTTTTTGGACAGAGCTTATGGTTTTGGGATTCATTTCTTTACTCTTAACATTCGGACAAAACTATATTGCTGAAGTTTGCATACCCTCAAGGTATGCAAATACCATGTTGCCTTGCCCTTATAGAGGGAAATCACATCAAAGCTCCCATGGCATCGAACCCGAAGAACACGAGGAAGACGCCCACGATCACCACCGTAGGCTTCTTTGGTACGAGCATCGACGTCTCGGCGGTGGTGGTCACGTAGAAAGTTGCAAACCAGTAAGTTATGCTTCTATTTAGTCTCCGAGCTTCTTTTTTAACATATATGAGTAGGAGACCTGATCCTGTAACCTAACCGTGTTTTTAACCCCTTCATTTTCGTTCCGTTGTAGGGATATATGCAACTTATATCTCTAAATGGTTTGCATCAATTACATATCTTCATCTTCTTTCTAGCCGTTCTCCATGTTGTCTTTAGCGGCATAACGATGACTCTCGGAAGATTGAAAGTAAGTACATATGTAATTTTCGATGCCCATTCTTATAAATTTTAGACAAGCTAGATCTTACAAATTAAATACTGACAAGTTGGTTCCGAGCATTACAACCTCCGAGAACTTTAGTTATTTTTGTAATATTATTTTAAAATTTTTATGTTTTTTTTTTCTCTCTCCTAAGATTCGTGGATGGAAAGTATGGGAAAGACAGACTGAACTAGAACATGAAGCCATGAACGGTATAGTAAGAAAGATTAGGGTTCATTCATGGTTTTCTTGTAATTAATCCCAACTATGCACTACAATTTTGTCATTTTACTTTCTCTTTCAGATCCTACAAGGTTCCGACTTACTCACGAGACATCGTTTGTAAGAGATCACAGTAGTTTCTGGACCAAAACGCCCCTCTCCTTTTACTTTGTAAGGGCTCACCACTTATTTTTTATTTTTTATTTATTTAAAGGAGTTTACGAGTATCTCGTCCACTCGTTTTAGGTCAAAATCTCTATCAATTGAGTTATAGACGTTTTCATCTATTCCATCTCGAGAATTAACGAAACATTTCTTATAAGGACGTGGAAACCTCTCCCTTATTAAAACCGTGAGGTTGATAACGATACGTAAGGGCTCGAAACGAACAATATCTACTAGCGGTGGGCTTGAGCTGTTACAAATGATATTAGAGCCAGACACCAGGCAGTGTGCCAGCAATGACACTGACCTCTAAAGGGGTGGATTGTGAGATCTCATATTGGTTAGAGATGTAGAAACTTCTCCCTAGGAGACTAGTTTTAAAACTGTGAAGCTAACGCTGATACGTAACAGACTGAAGCGAACAATATTACATTTGGATTTATGAGTATTTTAATATGATACTCAGATTTGTTTTCCAGGTATGCTTCTTTAGGCAATTCTTTCGGTCAGTTAGTAGAGCCGATTACTTGTCTCTTAGACATGGTTTCGTCACGGTGAGTTATTTTCACTGTTTAGAGTAATAGGCAGTTTCAAATGTCTCAAATTTTAGATTATTATTATTTTTCATTACTATATAGGTTCATTTAGCACCTGGGAGTAAATTTGACTTCCAAAAGTACATCAAAAGGTCATTAGAAGATGACTTCAAGGTGGTCGTCGGAATCAGGTAAAATTTTGACAAACACTTCGATTTAAGACTTCGAGTTATGGGTATTCAGAATTTTGTTTGATCGGGTTGAGATATATTCAAAACCCAACTCGATTGTTCGGGTTGTAAATTTTTATAACATAAGCAACCCTTCTGAACAATAAATTTGAATTAGTTCAATCCTAAACTAATCTTACGAGAACTCATGAACCAACCCGACCTAAACGAAACGAATTAGGTTGAGTTGATTGGATTCTTTGAGTCACCGAATCTTTTGAATACTCGGGTTCGTATAGTTTTGAATTATACGCTAACGTTTGCTTTTGGCAGTCCTCTACTATGGGCATCAATGGTGCTTTTTCTGCTTCTCAATGTTAGTGGTTAGTATTATTACCCTTTCAACTCATTTTCTTCATTGTTTTAATATTATTTATGTAACATTTGCAATATTTATTATGTTTTTAAATTATATAATTGTTATTAATTTTATTGTCCAGGGTGGCAAGTTATGCTTTGGGTGTCCATATTTCCTCTGGTGGTAAGAGCTCTTAATACTCAAAAAAATAATTTTTAAATAAAATTATTAAAAAAAAATTGTAATATTTGGTTGATATTTACGAACCTCCACAAATGGTATGATATTGTTCACTTTCAGCATATCAATGAAGATGTATTCTTTACTTATAAACTCATGATCACCCTCTGAACAAAATACACCATAGACCCTCCCCTGATGTCTATGTAGCTCTCGAACCCTCGAACAACTTCCCTTTAATCAAGACTCGACTCCTTTTTTTAGAACTCTCGAACAAAGTACATCATAGAGCCTTCCCTGAGATCTATGTAACCTTCGAACCCTCGAACAGTTTCCCCTTTTCTTGGAGCCTTTGAGGCTAGCAACTTCTTTGTTTGGACATGACTCTAATACCATGTTTAGAAACCACGAACCTCCACAACGGTATGATATTATCCACTTTGAGGATAAACTCTGATGGGTTTGCTTTTAGTTTCCCTAAAAGATTTCACACCAATAGAGTTGTATTTTTAGCATAAAATCAAGATCATTTCCGTCCCAACAATCGTCAACATTAATATTAAACTCATAAACATACGAGAAATAATCGATATCAAACTCATAGACGCACGAGAAACGTTGATATTACTTTTTTTTGTTTGTTGAAAAGGTGATCCTAGCCGTCGGAACAAAGCTGCAAGGAATCATAACACAAATGGCGCTTGAAATCAAGGAAAGGCACGCAGTGGTTCAAGGGATTCCCCTCGTCCAAGTCTCCGATAGACACTTCTGGTTCAGTTGGCCCGTTTTGGTTCTGTATCTCATCCATTACGTCCTCTTCCAGGTTTATTACTTTAATTTTAATTTTAATTTTTAATTTTTCTATTTATTATGCTCTTATACTAAATAATCTAATATTTATTTAAATATGTGACAGAATGCATTTGAGATTACATATTTCTTTTGGATATGGGTAAGACATTACATTATAAATATTATAATTTATTTTTTAGAAAATATAAATTATTTTATTTTATTTTATTATATATATTCTAATTGTGTTCATGGTACAGTATGAATTTGGATTGAGATCATGCTTTCACCAAAATTTTGATCTTATTATCGTCAGAGTTGCCCTTGGGTAAGTTAATTTATAAATATTATTTATTATTATATTTATAAGAAAAAAAAATTAATTAAAAAAATATATACTTTTTAAATATTGGAAAAATATTTATTTTTTATTTTTATTTTTTACTTAAATTTAAAACCTTGCAAAAAAAAAAAAAGTGTTGTTTGATTTATAAATAATATTTATTACTTTTTTATAAGAAAGAAAAAAAGCTTTATTAACATTTTGTTTTTCAAAATAATTTAATTTTTCTAAAATACTTTTTGAAATCTTGGCCTTATCATTATTCAAAAGCTTATTGCATATAAAATATATATATATATATATATATATATACACACATACTTACATATACATACATACATATATATATATATATACATACTAACACACACATATATATATATATACACATACTTACATATGATGGACCTTGGATTTTGACAGGGTTGGAGTACAGATTTTGTGCAGCTACATTACACTCCCATTGTATGCTCTTGTCACTCAGGTATTTTTTTAATATCAATGATATCGTTCATTGAGAGCTTAAGCATTATATCAATCAAGATAGTATTTATTAATTATAAATGCATGATCATTTTAAAGTGGTCGTTTTTTTTTTTATTAGATGGGATCGACTATGAAGAAATCCATATTTGATGAACAAACTTCAAAAGCATTGAAGCAATGGCATAGAAGTGCTTTGAAGAAAAAGAATGAAGGGGGAAAGCCAGATCCAATGCCAATGCGAACACTGGGCGGGGGCGGAGGCGGAGGCAGTGGAAGCCCTCCCGAGTCACCGTCGGAAGACTCGCATGAGTTCCAGCATCATGCAGACCCTCTACGACCACCCAACGACGTCGAAGCCTCCGCTGTTCCTTCGGCCAACATAATTGCCACCGTCGATCTTCAGCAACAGCAGAATTACGCGAACCGTGACTTGTTGAGCTGATCAAAACTATGTATTATTTAATGAGCCAAGAGGCTTGAAAGAGGGGTTGGTTTGTATATTAAACACATCTCAGATATGTTGTGTCTCAAGCTTTGAAAAGATTTGGGAATTGCAATTCTTTTCTTGTAAATCATTATGAGCTCAACCTGCCTGCCTTACCAATTTTTTGTATTCTTCCTTATGTTATTTGTTCATATATATCTCATCAATGAATTCTTCTTTTAACTTGGCTTTCCCATTTTTGCTCGTTAATTTTTAAATTTAATTCTTAAACTTTTGAGCATATGAGTTTAATGTGTCATAGTCATACTTGTCCAAGACGTGTTGCATATAGCTGCACTAGTTAGTGTATGACCTTTTGTACACTTAACCTCGGGATTTAAAATCACTGCTTATATATCTGGTATTGGCCATAATTTACAAGAACATTCTGTAGTCTTGGTAAGAGGGGGAAGGGTTAAGGATTTACTCGGTGTGAGATATCACATTGTTCGAGGAACCCTAGATGCTGTCGGAGTAAAGGATCGTCAACAAGGGCGTTCTAGTGCGTTGTAGATTCTTATCCAAGACTTGTATCATTTGATGATGCCATGTGAATCGCTAGAAACATGTGAAGTGTATGGCTAACCCAATAACGAAAGTTTCGTAAGGGAACTGGAGCAGGCTACCATGAGACAAATAAAAGATCTTCTCGATTCGGTATATGGCATTTGCCTAAGAAATGTACTATAAGGGGATGCACTTGTTCATTGGTACGAGGCCTTTTCGGAAAGCCCAAAGCAAAACCATGAGAGCTTATGTTCAAAGTGGACAATATTGTACCATTGTGGAGAGTCGTGTTTGTCTAACATGGTATCAGAGTCATACCCTAAACTTAGTCATGCCAATAGATTGGTAACTCCTCAAATGTCGAACAAAGGACTCCAAAAGAAAAGGAATCGAGCCTCAATTAAGGGGAGGCGTACTTTATTCGAGGGGAGGTGTTGGATGATGAAAGTCCCACATCGACTAATTTAGTAAATATTCATGGGTTTCGGCTAAGGTGTTGGAGGATGAAAAAGTCCCACATCGGCTAATTTAGGGAATATTCATGGGTTTATAATCAAATAATACTCTCTCCATTGGTATGAAGCCTTTCGGGCTGACTTATGCTCAAAGTGCAATATCATACCATTGTTGGGTTTTATGTCCTAAAACTCATAGTTTGTAAACAAAAACCTATTCTATTTTCAATAAGGTTATTATTGTACTTTATTCAGTAAAGATTGTTATTGAATAAAGTGAACTTTACGATCATTAATCTAAATCCAATAAACTAAGAGTGAACTATATGTAGAGACATAAGAGTGGATCAAGTTCAAGTATATAGTCAAAATGATCACCTTATTCTGTGATGCGGCTCACTTTTGTATATGATATAAACAATATGATCACTAAATTGTATACATGAAGTCATGTGAGTGGGGGCGTCCTATGCAATGAGTATTGCATAAGATTGGACCATGAAGAAAACCACTCTCACTTTATAATATCGTTTACTGTTGAGACTGATTTTCTTTTCATTCGATAACCTAGGTAACTTGGTTTTAATCCTGAGCTAACCATGAACTCCTGTTTATTCGGAATTATCCTTAGATTTGCATGGGTGAGAGTGGCTCTAGTTCGCAGACTCAAGAGGCCTCCCATTTCAGGGGTAAGACTAGGTGAATGGCTGGGAACATGGGGTGCAAGATGGAATTCACTCCTACCCACTTTTAGGGATAGAAGAGAGGTAGTTCCCTTAAGCACTGAATCCAGGTCTTGAACAAGGGGCCCCACCCTCTCATTGGCCTGAGAGGGATTCGGTTTACTGGTTGGACCACAAACCAATTGTTCATTAGAGGATCAGTGAGACATAAGGAACAAGAAGTAACTTCAGGGGTAAAACGGTAAATTGACCCAGCTCTAGTTACGAACAACCTGTGAAGGATCGACTTACTAATCATGGTTATATCAAATAGACAGAAATATATCTATAGTGAGGGGAGTGCAACTACTAGGCTATAGTGGAGTGTCCTAGTAGTTAACAAATGTTGGTTAACAAGGTTAATGAGTTTAGCCAGTTAATCTTGGATTGTTGGAGTCCATGATCTATAGGTCCATTAGGTCCCTCTGCTAGCTCATATCGGACTAAACCATAGAACAGTGTGACGAGTGAGTTCGAAGTGTTCGAATTCAAATTAGGGAATATGCGTTACATATATACGATATATTTAACTGCATTTTTGTTTTATTTACGAATTAAACAAAAGAGAAAATCTGAGATATTTAAATTATCTTAATCAATTATGTGTGGGAATTGATTGGGATTGGCATTTGAATTAATATTAAATATTAATTAAATAGTTTAATTAATCATTACTTTAATTTGAAATTCATTATTCAAATTAATTGTTAAATTAAAATGAAGAAAGTCAAAATGTTAACTTCATGGAAAAATCCATGTTAGTGGAGTTTCGAGGTGCCAAAATTTGGTTCAACCAAACTTGCATGCTTGCCAAATAAACCCTACAAGTTTGAGTGGAGTTTTGAGTGTCAAAATTTGGTTAACTCAAACATGCATGCTTGCCACATAATCCCGAACATTTGAGTGAAATTTTAAGTGTCAAAATTTGGTGATCTCAAATTTGCATGAACATGCAAAGATGACTCTTTAAATAGAGTGATCATGGTACATGGAAGGTCTTCTTCTTGGTGAAAAACCTTGAGAAAAACCTCTCACAAACACTCTCTTCACATATACAAAATCCCTCCCAAGTTTAGTCACTCACCGGATTCCACAATCTCGTTCTAAGGCCAGAGAATAGTGGAGAAGACACTAATGGTGGTTCGAAACCGATTCGTGAGGAAAAAAAAGTTTGAACTAGAAAATGTTAGTATTTAAACTCATTAAGTTTTAATACTTAAGAACATGCTAGTTTTTTTTTTTTACTATAATTGATGTTCTAAAAGTGCCTAAGATCCAAATTGCTTCCGCATGTGTTATATTAACACCATCAACCATTGTGAAGAGTTGTATTCGTCTAACAACAACTAGTTGTCAATTCTTTCTACTTGAGTTAATTTATTTTCTTAAATTGCTCTCCGAACGTTTTCAAGATTTTTTTTTTTATCACTGTGTTTTTTAAATTGTTTTCAAGAATGGGGTCGAAGGCTGAAACATACATTGTCTAAGCCAGCGATGATCGAAACTTCTTAAACTTTCAAGTTTGTGTTTATTCAAAGCCAGAAATTTGAAGATCGCAACAGAAGTAGTTTGATAGTTAGAGCCGATAAAGAAATTGACAAATTTTATGTTCATATTATGATGCTCGACCTTCATTTATGAGTTCTTTCTTATGATTTGTAATTCCACTTCTATCTCTTGCATATTTGAACTGTGACGTATGAGTAAAACAAAGGTATATGAAGAGACTTACGTCTGGACGAGAGTGGTTCTGAAGATAGGACGATTGAGAAAAGCTTAAAAAATTTGAAATTACTATCAATGCTAACAAGGTGCACATCATTTTTCGGTAGCTCATTATAGAAACTCCAAGGAAGTAGGTGAGTAAGGACAAAACATGTGTGACTCCAGGGTGTCTGTGCTAGTAGTTTTTTAAATTATTATTATTATTATTATTATTTCTTTTTTTTTTTTCTCGAATTTTTAGGTCAAATTATAAAATTATATCTGTTTTTTTATCGCCAAAATTACGACTTGTTTGAACCATTTCGTTCATCACTCGACAGAGGCTCGACTATTCCCTTAGCATTGCCTTGCCTATGGTTCGATCTCTTCCTGATCCAGAGTGAGTTCATCTTTTGAAGGACCGAGAAGGAAACTAGAAATGGCATTCAAGCTGGATCTATTCCTTATCACACTCGCTGTGATTCTTTCGCCTGTACTTTCCGATCTGATCTTCTCCAAGGTTGATCGTCGGGTAAGTATCGTTTGAAGGTTTTGAGTCATGTTTTTATTGATTTCAATAGCTCATTCGATTGCACTCTGCAGCTTCCCTCTTGTGTTCCATACATTTTCGTAATGCTTAGGGATTTGTGTTTTATGATGAGGTCTAAGTCTTCATTCTTTGTAAATCGATTACTTATCATGTGCTACGTTTTATTCACTCGGTCAGTGTATGATTGCTACATTTGCGAATTCTGAAATTCCATTTCTTGATGTTTTTAATTTACCTCGCTTAATTCTTTGTAAATCGATTAATTATCATTTTTTACGTTTTATTCACTCGATCAGTGTATGGTTGCTACATTTGCGAATTCTGAAATTCCATTTCTTGATGTTTTGAATTTACCTCGCTTGATTCTTTGTAAATCGATTAATAATCATGTTTTACGTTTTATCCACTCGATCAGTGTATGGTTGCTACATTTGCGAATTCTGAAATTCCATTTCTTGATGTAATTAATTTACCTCGCTTAATTCTTTGTAAATCGATTAAATATCATGTTTTACGTTTTGTTCACTCGATCAGTGTATGGTTCTACATTTGCGAATTCTGAAATTCCATTTCTTGATGTAATTAATCTACCTCGCTTAATTCTTTGTAAATCGATTAAATATCATGTTTTACGTTTTGTTCACTCGATCAGTGTATGGTTCTACATTTTCGAATTCTGAAATTCCAGTTGTAATTAATTTACCTCGCCATGGTGTCGTTGACTGTATTTCTCTTCCCGTTTGCAGATTGATTTGACATCACAAATCGTTCGCATATCTTCAACTATAAGGGTATGGTATCTCTTGCTATTTCTTTTTGTTTTTCGTGAAATTAACATGAAATTGGGAAGACGTAGTTTTTGGAATATTCTACGTAATGGGGCACATTGTGGAAAAGGGTTGGTGTAGTTTGAGGATCTATGGTTTAATAACTTCTTCGTGCTGTTCTAGGTGGAAAATGAGGGGACTGATGTGGTGTCTGAAGTACTTTTAATCTTTCCCGTGGAACAAGCAAAATACTTGTCTCATATTCAAGCTACATCGAATGAAGGAAAAGGGAAAGCCAAAGGATCTGCTATAAATTTCCCTGTCAATGTTGTTTATCCCAAGGAAATGCCTCCAACATTGAAATTTTACTCGGTATCTCTACCAAAGGGATTAAACAAGGGTG